GAGAGAGAGAGAGAGAGAGAGAGAGAGAGAGAGAGAGAGAGAGAGAGCTCACTGTCCAAACTTCACAGACAGGAAGAAAATGTGTTTTAAAATTTTAAACCACTGCAAAAGAAAATATCAAAGCACAAATTTCCATAAGATATTGGTCAAATAATTTCAGTGTAAATGACCATTTATACTGATAGTGCCATACTAAAAGTCATGTTGGAAGTCTGTAGGTAATATTCTCCCCCTTGAAAACATGAAGTTAGGCCATATTATGCTAAAATTATCTCTAAAAAGTGATCTCTCATCACCAGAATTGTTTGCAGTGTGTTCTGCAAAAACAACTCAGTCTTTATATCAAGATAAAAGATGGGGTACAATGCTATCTTAAGGTGGGCACAATGCTATCTTTACACCTTTTTGTTCCAAAACAGTAAGCAGATCATTTTAGAATGTTTTTTAGAATTCATAAAAGCTTTTTTTTCATAATAAATGGCAAATATCAACCAGGTTCCCATGGTGATTAGATTATAATGGTTATCCCAAAAATAGCAATTCACTTCTAATCCAAAACCCTCAGGAAAATTTAAGAATAACTTCAAGGAATAATTTACATGATCTATCTCTTGTGTCCAGCATTAGCATTTGACCCAAAGAACAGAGGTCATCAAGAGTACTGTACAATGAAAATCGAGGGTTTTTCTGATGACACGTTTAATCTCCTGTTCTGTCTCAGGATACTGATATTTCTGTGTTCATGGGAACTCTAAAAGGCTGTATTTAAGCAAGATTAAGTGATAGCAGTGATTTTAAAAAGAATATGGAATGTCTATTTTTTGAAACTAGTATGATTTTATTTTTTCTCTTTAAAAGAAAAATAAAATAATGCCTCCCAAAACAGGGTCAGTATCTGCGGACAAATCATAACAGCTCAGCACAAACACTGAAGGAATTTAATACAGCAGAGGCCTTCAGCTCTCAGAAGTAAAATTTTAAGAGGTCCAAATAAGTCAACCAGTTCCAAAACTTCATGGAAGTAGTTTATAATTCAGAGTGTGTGAAGAGGCAATGCTAACTGAAATAGGATGCCCCTCTTTGAGTCACGCAGACGGTGGGGGGTAGTAGGATCCTTCATTGCAAACCTTTGTACTCTGAGCTTGTTTTCTTCTTCTCCTGTTAAGCACAGAACTCCAAACTAATTGACAACATTCTCATATCTTACAGCATAAAAACACTGGTGTGTGTGTGTGTGTGCGCGCGCGTCTGTATGTGTGTGTTTTTTTTATATCCTTTCAATAATTGTTGAGATGATATTATGGAGAAATGCTGAGAAATCCCTCCCTATAACTAAAAATTAGGAATAATTTGTAATAAAATCTGTCAATGTCACATGCTTATCTTTAAAAAATCAAAAAGAAATGAAAAATACATTTCAATCAAAACAAACTCTATGAACATAACTGTCATTTTAAAAATAATTCCTATTACACAATAAAAACAAGATCGCATCTTTCATTACTCAAGAGTGTGTTTACCACCACTAAGTCACAAACACCCATTCCCAGTATGTTTGCTGAAATCTGGAGATGGAGAAGTGTGGGTGTGTGTCCAAGGAAGCACCGGTGTCTTCCTCAATCCTCCCTTTCCTTATATATTGAGTTAGAGCCTCTTACTGACCAAAAGCTTACCACTTCAGCTTGTCTGATTAATCAACCTTGTTCCAGTGATCCCCTGGAAATAAATCCTCCAACATACCAGGATTACAGACAACAATGCCAATCTAACTTTTGAACAAATTCTGGCAAGACGAACTGCTGAACTCATGCTTGTGTAGCATTTCACCTGCTGAACCATATTCCCAGTTCCTGCAGGTGTTTCACAGTTGGGGTTGCCGGAGTTGACACTAACCACACTAAAACACACAGAAATCAAGAATTGTCCAGTCTAAGATAATAATACTGTGGAGGGTGAAAAACAGTGCTACTAGGACCCAAGTTCAGAGCTCTTACTGATGCACGAAGGTTCAAGTTACAGTAAGACAGGAAAAAGGAAAGCTTGGATTAACACATGGCTGCTTCTGCTGTCAATTTAACCCTGAAATTTATTCTGAATTTTGGCCCTTGAAGCCAACATTTATTCAGCTCTCATTCTGGTTAGAGCCTTTCAAGAATTTTATTTATGCTATGCAGAGACATGCTGAAAGATTCCTCTGCATAATTAAAATTAAGAATAACTTTTAACAAAATTCATTAGAATAATTGGCCAATCTTGAAGAAGACTCAAAAAATCTAAACAGAAAGCAGGTTTTCAATCACTATTAATTTGATGCCCTTTATCTAAGCTATGCTCCCCGAAATGAAGCTGATTTTTCACTAGTAATTTTCATGTTTCTTTTGTGTTTCCAGCAGTTCTTTGAAAACAGAATGCTGTTCTTGAAGAGAGGTACTCTTAAAGTCAGATATCTTCTCTATATTAAAGACAATATGACAGAGGAATGTCAGAAAGTACTTGTCCAATCAGATGCTTCCTGTGAAATATGACATAGCTAAACCAACTTTAGGCTATGCCTCAATGTACAAACTCCCCAGCCACTGAGGTAGAAAACACGCACTAACAAATGGGCAGCCTTGTCCATTGCAAGGCTAATAAATCAAAATCACCAAGATCAGCTAACTGCATTTTCAGTGGTTCTGAATTTATCATCAAAGGACTGATAATCATGCAATCACTTGAAAAAGAAACGTGTTTGCCATGACCTTGATCATAATTCACCAACACTCCTGACATAACTTTTCAACACTATATCACCCTCAAAAGAAAATGATTTCAAGAGCTTGGATCTCTGAATTTGTGTGTGTGTATATGTGTGTGTGTGTGTGTGTGTGTGTGTGTGTGTGTGTGTGTGTGTGTGTTTATCTGGAGGTTTTTCTGGAATATTTGGTATAAAAGCTTTAAACATCTAATGCCTCAAAAGTAGACTACTAGAAAACTGAAGGATGCAAAGCTGAAGAAGTCTTAGAGACTTTTTCTAGATATAGGTAGCTAGAAATATGGATGGATCCAAATGAAACCACCAGATATTCACCTTTTTAGTAACTACTTTATCTCCTAAATCTACCCATTCCTTGTAGCTGTACTCTCCATGCCAGAGACGTAATAGAGCAGGAAGGAAAATCATCGAATTGAAATGAAGTTAGGAGCACTGCGTCCTGGCTGATCTCACTAGTGGGAATGCCTGGTTGCCACAAAGTTTTCCAAGAAAGGGAAAGTGATGTAAGATGCTAAAATCTTCTTGGCCTTCTCAGAGCACAACCGGAAATACTACAAAACTCTTAAAGAATGCAAAATAGAGGAAGAGAGGTGGATTAGCAATGTCAGGGTCTGTTTGCCAACCTTGAATCTTGGCTATGGAGGGAAAGTGAAGAGAAAGGTACCCTTTTAATATTTAAATAAAACAAAAGGTCAATTATAAAGATTAGAATTGAAATTTTTCAGTAGTTTAAAAGTTCTATAAAATAAAATGCCTGAATTAAAATCCTGATTTAAGATCTTTTCTGGAGAGTGGACAAGAGTAACATAGTTGTAAACTCAGCATTGAAGAAACAGGCAGGAGAATCAAAAGTTCATGTTTAGCCTGAGCTACATAGCTGATACCTTGCCCTTAAAAAACAAATCAACCTCAATCAAAAGAGCCTTTCTGAGTACAGAGTTTTAGTTTGGCTGTGTAATGGCTCAAAGTCTCTACTTTTGTTTTTCTTTGTTTCTGCTTCGATTTCGTGTTTAACTATAAAATACAGGTTTTTAAGTCTTTCTTCTCTTTATTTTATTTTAAGTGTTAATGTATGCAAGGAACCCAAAACATATTATGCAAGAAAGTTTATGGCACTGACTACTAACCCTCTAATAAAATAGATAATAAGGGTTCCATATCAGAAGACAAAAAGCAGACACAGAGCAGGCCAGCACCCCACACTCCTTGACAACCAAGGATACTGAAGTCCAGAGTGGCAACTGTGGAGCTTTGCTGACTGTGGGGTAAGAGATTAGTCCACTGAGAAGCTCAAGAGTATAAGCATGATAGAAGGTGCATTGGGCACAGCAATTATATGATTATCAACTATTCTCATTTTGCAGCTTCTAGAACTATGGGTTCTAGAAAAGTATTATGTACTTTTTCAGAATATGAGCAGACAATGTAAAGCACAGATCCTAGCAGTGGCTCAGTCAAAGGCACTGTGAAGAGGAGAGCACAGCGCAGGCTCTGGCCCACAGTGAGTACCAGACACTAGATTAGCAATCAACACCAGCATTGTTCCCATAGAGACTAAATTATTAAACTTTCTTTTTATTCATTACAAACATATATATATTAATGGATAGTTTTTAAAATCCAAGAAACATCTAAAAACACTGAAGATCTAATTACAAGATAAAAGAATAACTTCAAATAAATGGGGGAATAAATTACAAAATAAACATAATTGGGACGATAAGCCTTCATTTGGAAAGACAATGTGCCTGTTTGCTTCTCTCTTGCTGTGATAAACACCATAACCAAAAACAAAAGAGAAGGGTTGATTTGATCTAAGGGCTGCAGTCCATCAACAATGAAAGCCAAGGTAGGGCTTGAAGCAGAGACCAATGGAGGATGCTTACTGGCTTGCTTCCTATGGCTTACTTAGTTTTCTTTCTTATTCAACCCTGGGGGATGACACCACCCACAATGGGCTAGGCCTTCCCATATCAATCATTAACCAAAAAACTGCCCCCGCAGACCAATTTGATAAAGGCAGTTCCTCAACTGAGATTCCCAGGTCAGGTCAAGCAGACAAAAACTAACCAAGAGACTCCAATTTTTCCGTCATCCTGCCCCAGAAGGTCACTCCGCAGCAAACACATTCATGAGTAGATAGCTGATACCAGAGACTGTAGGTTCAGGGACCATCTCAGCATTCATTAGCAGAGAAACATCTATGAGCATGTCACATACCTAAAAGCAGCCGACTGAAGTGTGTTCTAGCCCGAGCACAAAGCAAGCTCTTCCTATGGCTATGCTGCAACAGTCTTCTGTCATTGGTGATCTTTCTTCTTTCCTTTGAGAGACTTAGAAAGAGAAAGCACAATATGAAAAGATTTCTATTTGAGAAAAGAAAAAGGGGGAAAGGAAGCATTTTTTAATTAAGACATTTTTATATTGAGATTAGTCTAAGGTTGACCTAAAGCTCAAAAATCATACAAGACAATATTTTAAAATCAGGTATTTTAAATTACAACATTTACTCTAGAAAATGTATCAGAAATAAATATAAAAGTCAAGAAAATGTATTTGTAGTAAATAGGACTAAGGCTTAATATATTTAATCACTACCATGTACTTTTGAATCTATTCTTAATAAAAAGGAGCAATCTAGCTCTTTAAACTATCGAAAAGCTCATATTTACAAAATAATGTAAATGCCCACCAATGAACACATTTTCAATCTCACTAATGATCAAAGATAATAAAACAACACAGATTTTCACCTGCTTGTCAATTATTAATGATTAATAATTATTAATCTTCTTAGTGCAAATGGTACCTTCACATCATTATTCAAGAGTGCAAATTGGTACAAATCTTCTGAAAAGAATCTGGCAAGCAGAGTCAAATTCAAAATATGTGTGCTTTCAAACACAGCAACTCCAGCACTAGGGGTGTATCTCTGGAAAGAACACTCAATGAGTTGTGGGCAGTTAGTTACTGAAAATTACTTAAAATAATGACGTATTTTAAGCAATTATGCATTGATTAAACTACTTTGTTTTGGTATTATGAAGTACTATCCACTTGCTCATGAAGAATAGCGTGTCAGTATTTAGAACACTGTTCTTCATGTATTACTGCTGTATTGAAGTGGAGTACAAGACAATTTTATAGCATAATACAACTTACACATTTTTCTAATATTATCTTTAAAAACAAGAAAAGTATATCCAAAATCCATGAGAAGGATTGGAGAGATTGCTCAGGGACCATTGGCTCTCAGCATGTAGACACAGGGAGCACACACTGCTCTTACAGAGAAACTGAGTGCCTTCCCCAGGACTCACACTGGGCATATAACTCACAACTGCCTACAACTACAGTCCCAGGCAATCTAAGGTCCCCTGACCTCCACAGACACCTACATTCACGTGCACACTCCCTCCCCCACACACATCACTAAAAATAAAATCTTTTTATAAAAAGTAAAAAGTTGGAAAAATATGTTAAATTTAACATGGTTATTTTTTCTTTTGCTTTCATAGTTTTTTTTGTCAGTGAATTTTCTTTTATCTTTGTAATAATTACATGAAATAGCAAAAGAACATGTATTAAAATATAAAAATGTCCATCTTTTTAATAAGTTTGTAAACATTAGCTATAAAGGAATGTAAAGGTTTTTATAAAATAATGTTGATTTTATTTCTGCTAGTGCAGAAAAATATATCAATCTCTTTAGCATTGTTTATTTATAATTAAAATAAATTAATTGTTCTAAAGTTATCAAAATACAAAATACATGACCTGGTTTTTATAAATTATAGATCATTAGATAGGCTGATTTTTGTTTGAAGAAATATGGGTACCTCAGTGTTAATATCTAACATGTGCTATGAAATTAGCTGTTCCTAAAAATGTAGAAAATATCCTGGTATCTACAAATACCAAAATGTGATGACACATTATTTACTGAACAAATTATAATTTTAAAAAAACTAAAACAATATAAAAAAAAAACCTCTGAAATTAACCACAAATTTTGCGGACCACAACAGGTTCTTTGAAACATCCAGAATAGTTGGAAACTTTGCAGTTAATATTTCAGACTTTCAGGCCTGTTCTGGAAGTGCACACCCTGAAAAATGCTTTGCTATTTTAATCTCCAAGCTCACTCTTCCTCCTGGGAAGCTGCCAAAGCCATCACCAGCTGGCCTTTGGAACAGGGCTAAGTTAACAGCAGGTATTCCTTTTTGAACTGTTAGTAGATATTAAAAGGACTAAGTTGAGCTAATCTAAATTCATTACATTGGAATACAGGGGCTATCTCCAAGAGAGTTTAAATTGCAGAGTCAAACTTAAAATATTTCCATGTTCTTCTTAATGATAACTTCTCTATTTTTAGTGCTCTAGTTTTTCATAAATGTGAACTGGAGATACTGTCCAGCTCTCTCCTGTATTGTCATTCTTTAGAAGCATTAAAGAAACCCAGGTAAAATTAGGCACAGCAGCACAGTCTAGGCTAGACAAACCCCGATTCTTTACCTGTCTTCCTGGGCTGCATCCGCAATCTCAATGAAATTTACAGAGAATTGAATTAGTAGATGTTAAAGTAAAAGCACATGATTGTTAGATTACTAATGAGACTAAAAACTGGTCAACTTTTCTACAGGGCAATAAATAGCAATATTCTTCATGTACTTTGAGTAGTAGCTCCAAATAACTGTGGAGTTATATTCAGCCAGTATTATTTGAGTCGCAACAGATTGGCTTGCTCAATATTTCCAAACATTGACCAGGTAGTATTCTAAGCCACAGTACACTCATTTGTCCACAAACATTAAAGCCATAGTAGATGGAAGCAGTCTTTGAACCCAGTGAGCCCCAATGGTTTCCAATCAAAGTCTGAAAGGGTTATTTAGAATTGTTTCACAGAACTGTTTCATAGCCCTGGTGTGTGGTAGATGAAAACACTGCATGCTAATGATGCCTACAAATTTCCAAAAAAAAAAAGTCCAGATCTCCTTTACAAAGCACCCACTCAATTTATGAGATTATCACTGACTTAGGGCTCAATGCTATGTCCCTATTTATGGACTGACACAGAGAACTACCTTGCTTGGGATCAAAGCCTCACTGACAATACCTGACTGATACATATACTTGACTTATATGCTTCAATTTGAGACAATTCTGTAGGATCTTCCTGCCCTGCTGACAGAGAGAATCATCTCCTGTGAGCACACGTCACTAAAACTTCTGCACTCAGTCTAGGACAATGGCCACTAAGACACACTCCTTTTGTTATTCCCTCATACTCGAAGGGAGTGAGGATAGTGGCAAAAGGGATAAGAATCATGTCCAAAATACAGATGCGGTTAGTTCAGCACTCACTGCACAAAGCGTGAGAAGTCTGAGAAAAAAAACAGATCTGACATCCTAAGTACCCGTGAGTTGGTTAGCCAAATGAGAATGACAAAAAGCAAACATTTAGACCTAACTATATGAAAAAGTTAACTCATGATAGAACCTGAGAATCACTAATCTCAGTCTACTAGAGCAGCAGAAATGGAAGACTACTAAAATATTTTAGTTTGGGAAGCTACTGAAGTCTCTAACTATTGTCAGTCTGTTTGAATCATTCATATTTAAGGCTCATGGTGGTAACAGAGAGGGAACAACCCCGGAAAGTTTTCTCTTACAACAAGCAAGTGGAGCTGGGAAGTGGCTTATCAAGTACAGGCATCTACTGCCAAACCTGATGACCTGAGTTTTAACCCTGGAACACACATGGAAGCAGGGGAGAGCCAACTCCTACAAGCTATCCTTTGACTCTTATTTACATAATAAAGTGTACTATGATATATAATGTATAATAAGTATAGTAAATGTTAATTTACAAACAGCTTGTAGGATATAGAAACTACTCAATAGGAATTTTAAAAAAGACAAAACATGAATAATGAAGCAGATCTTCATCTACAATGCATACACCTTTCTGTTGAGATCATGGCTAATTCTCAATACCCACTGTCCACAAAAGTAGTCCTCCTTATCCTCAGTATTCTCTTTCTGGACATTTCTCAACCGTGGAAGACATGTCTCTTCCATAGCCAATTCTTCTACTTTTATTTTAAGGCAGTTCTTGTAAACTAGTATATCTCCACTTTGCAACATTTATACTTGCTGTCTCTTTGTTCTATTTCATAAGCAAAAATTTTCCCTATATTTTCCAGAAATAGTGTAGAAAGAATTAACACAGTTGAGAGTTCCAATCATGAGCTAACTACCCCTTCTTCTCCAAAACAGGGGAACAAAATATGAATGTTTGGGGAGACAAAAAAAATTACACTTGGAAAGCAAAATTAAGGCAAAAAAATCAGTAAGGTTTTATATTTTTTTGCATAAAAGGAAATTTGCCTTTATCACACTGCCTTTCTTAATTTTCTCAGAATCAAAATTAGTACCATAAAAGAGAATAAAGCATACTGAATAAAATGAATTATTACCAAAGCCAAGGTGAACAAGATAATTTCCTCAAAGTCTCACTTGAAAAGAATTTGATATTTTAATGTGGAAATACACAAAAGTCCTTTGAGTTTAATCTCAAAATATTATGCCAAATATTTAACATTCATTTTTATATCTTATGAATAACAGCTTAGCTGTATGTCCAAAAACAATCATGAGAAGATTAATTTTTCTAACTTACAATAAAAAAATGGCCTGCTTTTTAAAGTCTGAGGGGTGAAGTGGACAAAATACTAGATTCTTATTTCTTCATGATATGAAGCAATTTTTGTCCAATACTTTCACAAGAAGTACTAGGTTGAATTTACTGTTAATAATTTGTTTTAACTTATTGTTCTTCTGCATGAAGAGACAAAAGAAAGAAGACAAACCTTAATACTTACTTTCTAAAAGTTCAACAGTGACAGTCACTATTATCAGATCCCCTTCATCATATAAACTCTGGTTTTACATCAAAGAACAATATCATATTATTTTAGTCATCCTCTGATTCATTATCCACAATCATATGTTCAATTAAATCTGGAAAAGGTAATAGGCATCCTACATTTTGGGGGGGTTGCAATATAGACCTTCTCCTGTGTTAAACATATCCAAGTGTATGAGTGAGTGACAGGTCAAAGGGTAACCTAAGAGAGCTGGGGCAGCTTGGCCTGATCGGTTTCCTGATCACACAGTCTGCAATCTTTTTATTCTGTCAAGGTAGCAAGGCATCATAATAGGGACAGATTGTTCCATCAGCAGAAGCGGCAGCAGCTTTTTCCAAAACTGACATGTTTTCCAAATGTGCAAGCTCTAGCTAGGGCTAAGGTTATTTATTCAAATGCTAATA